CTTTAAAACTCTTCTTCTGTGTGAAGGGGCTCTTTAAATCACTCCTCTCTTATATGAGGAAAGAGCTCTATAAACCCCCTCTTCTGTGTGAGCAAAGGGCTCTTTAACCCCACTTTTTCGGTGTGAAAGGGCTCTTCAACCCCTCCTCTCCTGACTGAGCAAAAGGCTCTTTAAACCTCACTTCTTCTGTGTGAGAGGGCTCTTTCAATCCTTCCTCTTCTTTGTGAGCAAAGGGCTCTTCATCCCCTCCTCCCCTACGCGAAAGGGTCCTTTAACCCCCCCCCTCTCCTGAGTAAGCAAAGGGCTCTTTTAACAGAAGCTCTGCCTATTATACACTCCAACTGTTCTTTCACCTGCGGTAGACAAGACACGAGCAAGGGGCTGCTATGCAAAACCTTGCCAGAGCCTCCGTCAGTGGGCCATGAGAGAGCCCTTTGCCTTTGATGCCACCTTATAAAGGAGAGAGCAATTATTTGCCTAATGGGATGAGATGCACCAAGTGAGTGTGCGACAGCCAGCCAACAAACTCTCTTCTTCCTCCCCTCCCGACCAGTTCCAAGGAGAAACAGGCAGCTGGGGTGGGGAGACAAGTCTGGGGAGCTGCGGAAGTGGGGCAGAACAGTGAGGTGTTCGGACGTGGTTTCGGCCGGAGCCCACTCACAAAGATCTCTTTTCACCCCCGCTGCAGGGCAGCCGGCCCCGGCGCTGCATGAAGTAGAAGAAGCCCACGATGAGGAGGAGCAGGAGGACGCAGACGCACACGGCGATAACGGCCACTGTGCTTCCGCCCTGGCTCTCGCCCCCGTCCACTGGTGGGGAGAGAAAACAGAAAGGGAGTGAGGGGAGCTCGTGTGGACCCCCCCCCCAAAAAAATTCCATACAAGCCCAGAAGCCAGGAGACCCAAGACAGGGCTATTTTTGGGCAGGAACGCACAGGAACGGAGTTCCGGCTGGCTCCCGAGTTGGCCACACCCAGCAGGAACTCATTAGCATAATAGGCCACAACCAAACGCAGCAACTCATTAGGATTGGCTACATTCGGGGTGTGTGGCCTAACATGCAAAGGAGTTCCTGCTACAAAAATGGATTGGCTACATTAGGGGTGTGTGGCCTCACATGCAAAGGAGTTCCTGCTACAAAAAGGCCCTGGGTTTTGACAACAAACAAGGTAAACAGAATAAGAAGCGAAAGGTGGGTGTGGCTGGCTGAGCACACTTCTGGTAACATGGGGGTGCGGCCTAATATGCCAATGAGCTGTGCTGTCAGGGGTGTGGCCTAATATGCTAATGAGTTTCTGCTGTTGGGTGTGGCCTGTTATGCTAATGAGTTCCTACTGGGCTTTTTCTACAAAAACAGCACTGCCCAAGGAGAACTTTGCCCAGCGGGCGCTTCCCATCAGAGGCCCAGGGAAGCAGAAGTCGCCTCCCCAGAGAAGGACTTCTGGCTGTGATGACTCACGGCCATGATCACATGGACGCATGAAGCTGCCTTCTACTGAATCAGACCTTCAGTGCATCAAGGTGAGGTTGCCAGGTCCCTTAACTCTGCCAGGGGATCTTTGGGGGGCATTCCAGGAGGTAGGGGGACATCACGTGACACCCCCAATACGACGATGTCACCCAGAAGTGATGTCATTGCACGGGGACACTCTGGCATTTGGGCGAAACGCTATGGGTTTTCCCACCCTCAAAACCAGAACGTTTGGAGACATGGCGTTTCCAGCGGGATGACGTGGTCTAGGGTGACACCGTCGTGTCGGGGAGCGGTACTTCCTGTTTTACCAGAAGTGGCCCAAAAACGTAATTTGGGGGCAAGATTTCCCCCCAGCCGGCCAGCGGCGGACAAGCCCACTCCAAATCATGGGCTCCCCCCCCTCCTGGACCAGTCTGATTAGACTGGTAGCGGCTCTCCAGGGTTTCAGGCAGAGAGGGCTTTCCCATCACCTACTGCCCAGTCCTTTCTCAACTGGAGATGCTGGGGACTGAACCTGGGACCTTCAGCATGCCAAGCAGAGGATCTCTCTCTGATTCTTTTAACTGGAGATGCTGGGGACTGAACCTGGGACCTTCTGCATGCCAAGCAGAGGCTCTGCCACTGAGCCACAGCCCCTCCCCAAGGACCAACAGAGACCACCTTGATGAAGCGGCAGACCACACGTACCCCTATCCCATGATGCCGCAGAGGGAACTGATCCTGACCCTCAAAACCGTGTGGTCAGGAAGTTTCTGCCTTGTATAAGGGCATCTCTACGCTCAGCCCTTCGACTGGTTTATCTATCAGGCCTTCTCCCCCCCTCAAGATTCCAAAATGACATGCCAGGCTCTTTTTGTAGCAGGACCTCCTTTGCCTATTAGGCCACACCCCCTAATGTAGCCAGTCCTCCAAGAGCTTACAGAGCTCTTCTTACAGGAGCTACTGTAAGCTCTTGGAGGATTGGCTACATTAGGGTGTGTGTCGCTTAATATGCAAATGAGTACCTGCTACAAAAAGAGCCCTGCGTGACGGACCTTCCCCGAACGTCAACAAAAATGCAGAAGAATCCTGCAGCGAAGACGCCGGGGAATTTAAAAAACATCCCTTTCCCTCTCTCCACAGAACTCCCTTGCCTGTTTCGAGTTTTCCGTTCTCACTCGGTGGAGGCGGGGGAGAAGGTTGAGGGGTTGGAAACAAACCAAACGCAAGCGCTTTCTTCCCCCTTCCCGGCTGGCCCTCCGCAGAACAGTTCGGGGAGGACCCCCCTATACCCCTCCCCTGCCAGCACCTACCTGACTGAAGTACAGGGTTCCCTGGGAGGCATGCGGGAGAGGGGGAAAAAGCGGTTAGCAGCCAACCTCCCCTGTGCGGCTTGCCAGTTAAAGCTCCCCCCACCCCGCCCCCGTCAGCTCTGCTCTCACACCACGCTAGAAGGTCCTCGACCTGGGGGAAGAAGAGTCAGAAGAACTTACCTGGCACTGCTGTAGCAGAGACTGTTGGAGGAGCTACAGGAAGAGACAGGGTTGTTAGCAAACGTTCGCGGAGAAGACCTTGCTTCTTTCGGCCGACATTCCTATCCCCCCCCCCCAAAAAAAATCCTTCTTCCTTCATCCTCCCGTCCTGGCGAGAAAACGTGCCAGAGCTCGTG